TTGCAAACATTGTGCTTGCTTCTAAATTTCAAAGAAACAACTCAATATATTTTATCAAGCTTCGTATGTTCAATGAGCGAGAGCTTACAATGTTGTCAACATAATGAGACATGATGCGTTTTTATGTCCAAACATTACTCCATACAATGTGTGGTTCATTGCAAACAATCTAGCTATTTATGTGAGGTGCCTGAAGGAAATCCTATAACTGCCTATTTTTTCTATCTAACTGCTAAACAAAATAGACACATGTACCAACTTTTCGAATGCAAGACATGTAATTACAATTTGTTTTTCATGCACCGCATATTGTTTAACATTTTCAAATTGAATGCTAAGCATCCTCCTTGCAGTGCCCCATTTGAAAATAACTTCTATCGCCACAGAAAAAAGACCCGCCGTAATCACATATGTTTAGGACATGTTTTATCTTTTTTCTTGAGTTTTAAAGAAACCAACAAATTATCAAGACTTGTTCCATGAAAAATTAAATATAATCATGATAATAAACGCATCTATCCACAGCAGATATATGCACATGCCAACCACGTGCTCAGTGGAATGATATTATCGAGGAATCTCGAGCTGTAAACAGAACAGTTTTTCCCGATTTGCTGGAGTAGGGTTTAAATCGCTTTTTTTTAATTAATCAGACGATGCAATGCAACAAATAAAAGTAGTAAGTAATATAACATAATGTTTATTACTTAGTAATTTCTTGTCTTGATGTTATTATGGTCGCATTTATTCTAAAACCAATGCTATTCGAACACTGTGTGACAGAGGAATGGCGGACGAAATAAACACATGGCCTCAGGAAGACACCCATATGAAAAATCAAATATTCAAGAATTATGGATAATGATAAGAAAAAAGCGAAACAAATGGTTGTAGCCATATTATCAATGAATCGAACTAACACTATATTCAATGCATTTTTCATCTCGTGAATGCTGTAGCTGCGCAGTTCTAACATGATTAATTTCCTCCTAATTAAAACAAAATAAACTTAATTATTAACTGATTTTGGTCTCGAACAGTAGGTAATTAGTGCATTAGCACTTTGAGTAACTTTGGGCTAGTTTAGTAGAGTATTAAGTGCATTCTTGGTATTTCTTATTTTACACCAGACTAGATCCAATATGGCTTGTACATCCCCCTTAAATAACAATCAGAAACGAGGTCATTTTCCTTGTTAAATGGTAATATACAATGAATTGCTTTTTACAAATCTTTTTATGAAAATAACTAGATTGAGAAAGACTAACTTTAGAAAAATGCTTGCTTGTCCTCTCCCGACTCGGTATTCAAATATTTGGTTGGTAGGTAGGTGTGAAAAATGTATTTTTCAGAAAATTTCATTATCATCCAAAGTACATCAATGATAGCTTTCTGGAGGTTAAAAAAAATAACCAGTCGGTCGGGAGAGGGCAAGCAAACAATTTTGTGATGATAATCAAAGACAACAGATTAAATTATTATTCATTAGAAAATAGATTTAGGTAATTTTTGCTCTCAAGATGAAGTTTAAGACGAGTACAACTTTTTATGTTAAATTGTACAGAATATTCGAGTTAAAGAGCAAATTTATTTACTAGTATTAAATGCAACCTTTTCTATGTAAGATCCACATAATGAAATTTTCCTTCAAACAAAATTTCCTAGGCAGACGAAAAATATTTATATAAACCATACATGCACAGGCTTTCTCTAGAATTTTCTCTTGGCAGCATTATTTTTTTATAGATTGTTTTCTAGAATTGGTGCTCAATTATAAATGTAACATGTACATAAGACCCTTTTTTCGAAATTTCTGTACGGCATTGGTCATTTTATGCACTTTATACTACAGTTAAGATCTTTAGAATCTATATTCAATAAAAAAGGAACTCGAAAACTGTCACATTTCCAAATTGGTAAATAAGCAAAATTACACGTAATTAAAACTACTCTGATTGCACACATTGTGAAATTCAATAAAACTAATGATTGTGTTTAATTATATATAAATTAGTATTAAAACTGTGTAATAAACTGTCATTATTCTGAATCTCCTTTTGCCTTTCACCGACTTTCCAATTGTCCAAGTTGTTTTTCCTCATGATTGAGGAATTTAAGACTACGATTTTGTAATATTAAGTGACAATGATTTTTCTATGATCTGATTTTATAATTTACGTGTATACACTTATCAGCACATTATGTTTTCCTTCGAGTTTTTTTCTCTTTCAAAAATAATATGATAGCCTGACTAGCCACATTGTTCTCCTTGTTGAATATCGTTCCATTGACCATCCCGTTAAACACAAGTGAAAGTCCTGCCGATGGGCAAAATAATATACCTTTATTCTAAGTATTTTGCAATTAGGGTAAATCTAAGTCAATAGGACCATATACGTACATGTAGAGCGAAGTTGGGTTAGTATTATTGAACGTCGATTTGTCTATTTGTTCCTCATTCCTTTTACATCTGTAATGCGCGGTTTTAATTGGAATGAAACGCCTTTACTACCAGGGAAAACCTCACAACAGCGCAATCCATTTACACAAACCCCATTAAATTGTAATAAATTGACAAGTTTATACAATTTATATATACTTGATCTTAACCTTACACGAAACAGTAATGAAAAAGATAAAACCAAATTCAATTCCTAAAGGGAAAGCTTGTTTGATGAAATATCAGTATGTCATTGCGGTGTATTTGTAATGACTGTTTTCAAGTTTTGTGAAAATTATCTTTGTGTAAATCACTAGCGTATCTTGAAAAACATGCCTACATTCAAGTCTTGTGTGATTTGCACACCAATAACCCACAAAAACATTCCTTATGCTTACATTTTACATGTCTAAAAGCACTCGCTGGCCTATATCTTTTTTTTTAGATTTTAAAACCTCTGTTTGGCCTCATTGTGACGTCACGTTAGCGCACATTAATTTCTCCGTGCATATTTCTACGCGTGAGTACACACGAAAATGATATTCAAATCAAGCTCACAGCCGACTTGAAAAAAAAAAACACAGCAAACATAAATGTATGAAAACCAAAAGATCCTGAATTGTGACATTTCAACATGCTCTCTCTCTCTCTCTCTCTCTCTCTCTCTCTCTCTCTCTCTCTCTCTCTCTCTCCTTTATCTCTCAGACTTGTTATCTACAAAAAAGACATAGTAATATGCTGAATTATTGGTAGTTGCACATACAGGAACTTCTAATTTTCGGGCGATCAAGGAACGTAAAAATACTCAAGCAGTACATAAGCTTTCTGAAATATTGTAAGATTTTACCTTTAAAAAAGAAATATTGTTCATTCTATTTGCAACACTCTACCAATGTCTTTAAAACTATTGAAAATTGTGATCAGTCAAAAAATGGAATAAGTGTATAGTTTACCTTTTTCTATTATGACCTTAAAAACTTAGGGTCAAATGTGACGGTAGGCATTGGCACAATAAAGAACCCTCGCTGTTTAATGGCCCTGGGTACCGAATGTAGGTCTATATGAAGCCCTTCTAGGGCATACGGTGGCGTGTGTATATGAGTAAAAATTTTCGAATGCGACGTTAAACTATATACAGTTAACCAATCAATTGATAAGCGGGCTTTTTCAAGAACTTTACATCATTTAAACTCCATGATATAATGATAAAACGAGGAAATATAACTTATTTTGTTACTGTACATTAAAAAATAGAAGTTTAATTCTTGTTATCATAAATGATGCATTTAACTGCTTCGGTCTGGAAATTAAATTTTGTTTGAAATGTAGAAATCTCAACTCATAAGAACACCTTAGTTTTATTATTTTAAAACAACATTTCAGGACCGAAGTGTTTATCCTGCAACATTCATCGAAACGAGGACTCTACTTCTCAATCAAACAAATATGAAATTTAAAAGAAATATATAATAAACAAATATTTTTATTAAAACGACATGCATAAACAAAAAACAAAACAACATAAAAAATGACATGAAAGAATAAAATATGATCCTAAAAAGTTACATACAATGTATAGTCATATTCAAATATGAATATATAATTAAAGGTAGCTTTTCCTGGGCCATAGACAAAAAACTGGAGAATTATTGGCAATACCAACTGCCCAATTATTTATAAATTTTGGATTTAATAATAACACCTCTATATAACATTTTTATTCATTTAGTGTAAAGAAGGTTGGTTTCTATATTGATATTTTTATTATGAATGCTATATTTATTTGAAATATTGACATATGTCTGCCATTACTGTATCAGTCATCAAAGTGCATTTGGAAGACGGACGTGAAAGATGAATTTCAGTGAATGGAACTAAGGGAAATGGACATTGACCAATTTTTTATATATATATATATATATATATATATATATATATATATATATATATATATATATATATATATATATATATATATATTCTTGTTAACAAATACTCGAAAAAGAATCTTAATTAAACAGAGTACATTTTAGGGCTTTGATACGTGTAAAGAAGAGTGTATATCATATTGAAAGCCCTGCTTTAATGGGCAACGATTAACTAGCGATTTTCCAGATTAATCTGAAACATTGTCTATGTGTATGAAAAGCAAAATTAGAATTAAAAATTTCCAATACTTAGAAGAAATACAAGATTTAAGATTGTTTCTTTATTTTAAAAATCCTAAGGATGCTTATACAATATTTACATGAAATACTCAAAAGTTAAAAAAAAAATAATAAAACACACACACACACGTACATATACCTTTACTTCTTTAATTTATAAAATATCTAAAGTCAATGTATGGCCAAAATTTAAGAAAAAAGTGCAGAAATTCCCAGATAAACAATTAACCGGAATTTCCTGGTAAAATGCACATCTAAACATTGTGTCCTAAATATATGCTACGTTTAACGAAATTCTGTGCAGCGGTTTAAGCGGAGAAGCGCTAACAACTGTTATCTATATTCAAGGTATGGCCAAAAAATCTAAGTTGAAAAGTGCGGAAATTCCCAGAAAAAAAAAGGGATCCTAATTTCCTGGTAAAACGCCTATCCACTCATTGTGTCCTAAATAACTGCAAAGGTTGACGCAATTCTGTGTTGCGGTTTATGAGTTATTGCGCTGACAAACTATACACGTCTTATTCAAGGTATGACCAAAAAATCTAAGTTGAAAAGTTCAGAAATTCCCGGAATAAATGAAGGAATCGGAATTTCCTCGTGATACACAAATCTACACATTGTGTCCTTTATATTAAAAAATGACGAAATTCTGTGCAGCGGTTTATGAGGAGTTGCGCTGAAAAAAAAAACAGGACTGGCATAATGACTGACTGACACTGACTGAGGGACGGGTCAAGAACATTATACCTCCCGCAACTTGTTGCGTGAAATATAAAAAATAACTTTAATTGACATCTAGTTAAGCAACCTTTAGAAAAAAATGTTCTCTATCTAATAACAGAAACCTTTTTATGAAGGAAAGAAACTGATATACATGTATATACAATATATATTATCAGTATCATAGAAATAATAAAAAGAAAGATAAAAGATCATTTAAAAAGGTTTTTCAAAGCAAAAAGTTTACAAATAATCTTACCTCAAAAAGGTAACCGATATAAGTAAGATTTACATATAGAGTTAGAAGTAGTTTTACATGTAAGTTAATATTGAGATGAGAATACTAAATGTGCCATTATTTCTAATGAACTATGACTAGACTTCTCTTTAAATAACGCTTAATATTAAAATGATAGAGAAAAAAAGAATATAATAGTTATCTTTAAATTCTAAAAGAAAAACCCTTATAATAGACAATAAAAACTATTTGACAAATAATTTTTATCAAATTTGTGTTTGCAATATTCTTTTAGGTGTCTCACAATTGTTTTCTTTTAAGAATTGGCATACACATTGTCTGTATTTAGAAAATCAGATATTGCTTTGAAGCAGAATTCATATTCTTCCTGAAATATAAAAATGAAAAACGAATTGAATTTACGTAGAATTTGTGTTTTTTATTTCATCACACCAGAATTTAAGTTAATTATAAATAATTTATAAGGAAAAAATTCTCCGATTTACAAAAACCTAAGCACAAATTGTCCTATATAGGAAATGAATTCTACCAGCAGAAAATCACAAAATAATGGATAGTTGTACATGTGTAACAAACTCATATCTATACTTTAAGATGATATTAATATCTATATACTTTAAGATGTGGTATTAAAGATTATTTAAAGTTCAAAATTAATTCATTTCTTATAAAATACTGGTAAAATAAATTAAAATGTACCTTGGTAGATAAATGTTTATCAAATTTGTATAAAAAATATATTTCGATAAATCAATGCAACCTATTTTTTTTTTATTATTAATAAAATTTAATAAAATCAATGTAATATACCTTTGTAGATATCATTTCTGGTCTTCTACACTGAAGCTGTTGTACTATAGTAAATATGTCCACCTCGTCATCCTGTTGTAGCTGTTCTATGGCGTTATATACAGCAATAAATACTCCACAGCAGGTCGCACCGTCCCTTTTGCGTAAAGTTAAGAAATAATGTTTTTAATTAATGTAGAAGAAAATGATTTTTTTTTCAAGAAAAAATTGCCTTAAAGTTAAAGCTATATAATTGATTGTGAAAATTTTAAGGTCCATTGTAACGCCTACCAACCCAACCCCCAAAAGCATGTTTGCCCTGATGTTCTTGACCTATGAGTTTAATTCACTTTAAAAAGTGAAATGGAGATAACGAATAGTATTTAATCTCAAAGTCCATAAAACAATACAAAATAGGAGCAGAACAAACACGGACCTCCAAAACATCAGATGTGGGATTTAATTGATTAATTAATTAAAACATTTAATCTTTGGAATAAACTTTGGAAAAAAGGGTGTTTGGGCTTGAATATTTTTCATGCGTGTTTCTTACGAAAGAGGCTCAACTTGTATACCTTTAATTTGATTTTTTTTTACTTTTAAAATTTGAAATGACCCATATTCAAAAAATTTTGAACCATATCTTTGAATAATTAAAGCTTGGGTTTTCATATTTCAATTTATTCTTTGGGACATTAAGTCGCCCGCGTGGCGCAGTGGTTAGAGCGTCTGCTCTAGAGTCGCGAAGTAAGGAGCCCATCTGCGGGACGTGGAGACCGGTCCTTCGGATGAGACCGTATAAACCGAGGCCCCGTGTTGCAGTAGGTGCTGGCACGAAAAAGATCCCTCACTGCTCAAAGACCCTGAGTGCCGAGCATAGGACAAAATTTGTAGCCCTCCACCGGCAAGTGGTGGCGTCTCCATATGAGTGAAAAATTCTCGAGAGGGACATTAAACTACATACAATCAATCAATCAATCTCTGGGACATTGTACTTTAATAAAAATATCCTTTCCTTGGGAGTTTTTTTTACTTTCATTTGTTCGACTTCAACCTTCACAAAATGTGTCTGATTGGGCAAACAAAAATCCCTTTTTTAATATATGCCAAACATATACCCAAAGGCGAGTACTTACTTTGATATCACAGTTACGTGTCCGTCTTGGTGATATTTCCGATCAAGACTGAATTGCTTGATGAGGTTTGTCAAAGCAGAAGTTTCTTTGGGCAGTGCTTCATCGGAACTCCAATTCAAGCATTCAAATATTTGGATTTCGTGACTTTCCGAGCTTTTCTGTAAAAATACCTTTTACTTATAAATTCAATTGTTTTATCTGTACATATCTTTTACGTGCATGCATTTGTTGATTTTCCATGCAAACATTTTAATATTTCAATAAAATAATTTAATAAACGTCTTTTTTTTGAAAATACAAGTATTAATTTACCTCCTTATCTGTAATGTTGATAGTGGTTTTTCTTATCTCCTTAGTGAGTAATGTCTCTGTACCCTTTGTTATTGTATATGGACTTAATTTGACAAGATTGTGTTTATCCTCTACCCAGCTTTGTAACTGGAATAAAAATTATAGATTAAAATCTTATAATAAAAAATAGCATCAAATTAAACAAAATATTTACTGGGGATGCAAAAAGCAAGTTATCACCAAAAATGATTGAAGAATATTAGAATTACCTCCTTCACTTCTGATAATGGGTTTAATGCAATAAGGAATGCTGACTCGTGATCAATAAGTAAACGAACAATGTCTATGGCCGCGCCAGACACTGGGAATTGTGCAGATATAAACTCCTCAGCTCGGGTGAATGACTAAATGATAAAAAATTAAATACACATGGACATGTAAATCTGACGAAACGGCACAAAAAAACACAATGTGTTGACAAAATATGAACATGTAAATGTCACAAGACTCCACATTAAGTGCGTACCATCTTTATAAAATATTATTGTATCATCTGAATTTCTTTCTTAGATAAAGAACGGTGATAGTTCTAAAAAGTTATCGGAAATGATCTTTGTAATATTCATCTTTTTAATCAGATACTGATAATACAAATGTATATACGTATAAAGACACCATTTGCCTTGAAAGATATTCCAAATGATGAAATTAATGTACGTACAGAAACATTCACTGCATTGTAGTACGACTCTCTACCAGGTACATGAGAAGTCAAATAGACCAGATATTGCTCAACTAAAAATAGAAGAATCATAAAGATGCATTTAAAACTTTCTTCACAATTAAAGTTTAACTCTCTTAACCAATATTTCTGTCAAAAAGTAAGTTATGTACATTGCTGGTGTGATTGAAACCGTACGTTTTCAGAGACTAAAATTTAGCCATGTTTCCTTAATTTTGACGAAAAAGGAAATCGAACGATTTTTCATCCTTAGAAATATAATGATTACCCTAAATATAATTTAAAGTACAAATATAAATAATCAGCATTTATTTATTAAGTTTTAGCAGCAATCTCTTCATTCTTGCTAAAAATGCCTGCTTTAAATCATCACTTAAATATCTGTTTATGAACTGACACGCAAAAGAAACACAACACCCTACTTTAGATTGAAATAATTATGTAAAGTAAATAATTTGTATCTTAAAATTATGAATATCTTCAATTTGGTAAAATAGGTATTATAATGGTTGAACGATTTGCTTAACAGAAATCAAAACTTGCATGTTAAACAAAATACTTGGCAATATTATGCAGTTTTAAGGGTTTTTTACTGTTTATCATAAGAAACGCAGCAATTTTTCAAAAAATAAAATCTCCTTTCGCTTCCCGTAGCTATGCTAAGGCTACTTGAAAATGGCTTATGTACGCATCTCCATTGCTCTAGCTGGAAAATTTCAATGTAAAAGTGATGGAGAGTTGCTGATGCGAACTTTCACTACATTACGCCATAACGGGGTCCTACGTATCATATGCATTAAGGACAGTCCTTGTAACGAAAGTCCAAGGGTGGCTACACTGCTCTAAGTTAGAGAAAATTCAACCTAATCATGTAAAAAAAACCTGCATTTAAAAATGCCAAAGAAGAATTTCTTCGCTCAGATCTCGATATTGATGAACCTACTGTATCTTAGAAATTAAGCTAAAATTGTTGTTTTGGGCAGTTTTGCACGTTTTACTTGAATGGCTGGGAGGGGGATGTTTTAACAGTCATATTTTACAAAGTAAAGTAAAAAGATGATCATTTAACAATTTTATCAAATCTCCGATGTTCTGAAAAGTGTGATTAGCCTTAATTTATTCGCTTTTGAAAATCATAAGATAAAAAATCAAACATTTGTAGATTACTACTTGTTGTGTTTCTTTTGCGTGTCAGTTTATTTATTTACAGTTATCTTTTTTTAAATAAGCAAAACAAGTCCACATGGCTAAACATTACAAATGAGTGAAATTCAAATAGCAGTTCGGACATGCATACCTGGTAAGACTGATTTTGTAAAGTTCAGTTTTAAAAACTTCTTTCCACTCTTGAAATCATGGGCATCATACCGTGGTTTTAAGCTTACCAGTTCCTAAAAGTGCAATGAAGATATTATTTCTTGATTTTGTAAATTTTTGAAACAAACATCAATAACAAATATTGATAACGTATATAAACTATTCATTTTTTAGTTGTAATTGCAAGCAATTTATTTTTAGTCATGTAAAAAAGTTCAAAAGACTATTAAATGTATGCTTATAAACATTGTGTATTCTCACATTGAATTCATTGGTTAGATGTTTCTGTGTATTTATTCTGTTGACATCTCCATACTGGTGGACAAATTCATCTTTCTTCTTATACTGGGGTTTCCTTCTGAAGAACTCGTACAAAGCATGGTAGAGAAAAACGTATTGGTCCTAAGATGATACAATGTTAAACGATTCTTCTTACTTTTGACTATGCATATTCCATTTTTAAAACTAGATTGCATTCATCACAAAAATATTTCATTTTTTATTTAGCAGTTTACTTACAGAAACAGATATTCTTCTCTCTCTCTCTCTCTCTCTCTCTCTCGATTTGTGTATGTGTGAGAGTATTTTTATCTCCATCTCAATCTCTCTATCACTCCTTTTTTAATTCAAGATAGAGCAGTATACATGAGTAAAAATTGCAGTTTCTTTATATACGTACCACATTCTGTATCATTGTCATCCTGTTTCTACGCATGGCCTTGACATACTCTATGACGTTGACCTTGCCCTTGTCCTTGGCGTACCTGGACAAAACGTCAAGGGCGATAAATGTCCCAGTTCGCCCAATTCCCGCACTGTAACACATTTATGTATGAAGAGAAAAAATACATTGGCTACAAACAGTTAAGCGATGAAAGATAATACGAGACTGAAGCTCTACTGGTTTATATCTATAGCAAAGGAAGAGAAAAGTACTTAAGCTGTTGGGAATTGAAACTTTATAACAGCAATAAATAGAATAATGACCCTTGATTCAGTCTTTCTATGTTCTTAGTGTAGTCTACTTGTGTGCCAAGTTATATATATTATTATCAGACTAAAACTACTATCATTGGAGTAGAATTTTGAGAGTATTTAACAGAAATTTCTATTCTTAATAACCAAGGCAATAATGTTCATCAGTCAAAAACCGATACACAGAATTGTGTATCTTAGTGTAGTCTACTTGTGGGCCAAGTTATATTGAAATCAGACCAAAACTGTTGGAGACATAGCATTTTGAAAGAATTTCACAGAAATTTTCTATTTTTAGTAATCAAGGCAATACCATTCATCAAAAACAAAAACCTATATAGAAAATTATGTATCTTACTGTAGTCTACTTTCTGTGCCAAGTTAAAATGAAATCAGACCAAAACTGTAGGAGACATAGCATTTTGAAAGGATTTCATAGAAATTTCTATTTTTAGTAACATCGGCAACACCGTTTATCGAAATTAAAAACCGATACACAGAAATATGTATCTTAGTGTAGTCTACTTGTGTGCAAAGTTATAATTAAATCAGACCATAACTGTGGGAGGAGTAGCATTTTGAAAGAATTTCACAGAAATTTCTATTTTTAGTAACCAAGGCAACACCGTTTATGGAAATCAAAAACCGATACAAAGAATTATGTATCTCAGTGTAGTCTAGTTGTGTGATAAGTTATTTTGAAATTAGACAAAAACTGTAGGAGGAGTAGCATTCTGAAAGAATTTCAAAGAAATTTCTAATTTTAGTTACCACGGCAACACTGTTCATCGAAATCATAAACCGATACACAGAATTATTATCTTAGTATAATCTACTTGTGTGCCAAGTTATATTGAAATTAAACAAAAACTGTAGGAGAAGCATTTCGAAAAATTGTTTACAGACAGACAGACAGACAGACAGACAGACGCCGGATGCATTACTATCGCATAAGCTCTTCTGGTCTCTGACCAGTAGAGCTAAAAAGTAGATGGGTTGAAAAATATATAAAGAGAAGTTAAGTTTCTTTATCTTCTTTTAAATTTGAAGGTATAGTATTTTTTTCAGGACAATAGCATCTTATATAACGGATATGATGCTCAAAATTTAGGCCATTAATGTATAAAGTATGTCCAGAGAAATTACCTGCAATGAACAATTATTGGATGTTGAGAAGGCTTGATTTTGTGTCTGAAGTGTCGGTGAAATACAACTAAATTCAGAGGATTTGGAGTCCCGTGATCTGGCCATCGGGTGAAGTGATACTGTACGACCGTCCTTGACCCAGTGACCTTAAAATAAGCATGCACATTGCAATTAATGTATGATGAATTGCAATTATGGCGTCTACCTTTAATCTACATAAAATACATGTTTCTACATTTTTATCAAAATGTTATGAGTATTTATATATACCTTCTTTTTCCGCACAGTCATTTTTCTCTGGACGAAATACGCATATACTTTCTCTTCTACCAAAGTTACGGAAAATGGATTGATTTCCAGATCTTTCCCTTCATCTGGCCAATATTGGTGACATTTCACCTAAAAGAAGGTTCATGTTAAAAAAATTTTGAATTTTTGTTAAAAAAAAATGTGGAAATAAAATTTATGTTTCTATTAAGTTTGAAGGAAATTGATACAGTTTAAGGACTAGAAAATCTTTAAAACTGTGATTTCAAAACCAGGTTAAAGGAGATTTAGTCGACAAAACTGAGGATTATAATATTTTATAATTAAATATTTTTCTTTAAACTATGACACAAGTGATGACAACTTAAATAAAAGGATATTACATCAAAAAAATTACTTTATATACTCTAATATATAAAGTTACACATTCAACCTTTGGTCCTTCAATTAGGTTGGTCAACATAACGATGTATTCCACATGCTCCTGCCATATCATTCTCCAGTGATCAACTAAAGTGTTTTCACGTGGGCCTAAAGGAATATAGTAAGCTTTTAGTGAAAGAAATAGTCAAAGGTAAAAGATTCTTATTATTCAAAGGAACAATATCATTTTAAAAAAAAAGTTTTATTTTTCAGATGGATTTTGACAATTTGATATTTTTTACCTTGACAAGCAATGAATTCCTTTTCCCCCTCCATATTCTAAAATAAAAATGTTACAATGCAATTAAAAAAACAATAATATCATGTTCACACTAAAATACCTTCAATAGAAATTAAAGTAAAGTATATGTGTTTGTTACCTCAATATAGTTTGCATTTATGTAATCTGTAGTGAAGCCATTACCAACTTCTAAAATTACTCGTGAATGATCGTCTGTAAGAAAATTATGAATTTCTATTATTAGTGTCTATTACAGTTAAATCACATACTATTTTAGTGAAATATATATATAATTTCTGTTATGGTAATGCGGAATATCAAAACACTTCAAAAAGATATTAAAGAATAACATGTTTTCAGTGTAAGATATCCAATCAAATTCACATGTTACAATCTGTGCGATAGAATATTTCCTGAATATCCAATATTGTTGTATAAATTTATTAAGAATGTAAAGCGTAAGTTTATATTGGATATTCAGCGTGACCTACGTCAAAACTTGTCAATCCGCTTGACGTTAATATAAATTTTGCACAATTAAATAGAAAGTTTAATGCAAAATTTTGGGGTTTTTATGCTACACTTAATGGAAGAAAATTAAAGTATAAGGAATGAATTTAGCTACCCAAGTTAAACTCAAAGCTGTTTATTTTAAACGCGTCAACTGTTCAAGCAAAGTTAAAACCGTATAAACTGTGGAACTATTAAAGGAATTCCTATATATTAAGATGAAAAGAATATTATAATATAATTTTATTCGATGGCTTAAGAAACTCAAAGAAACTTTTCTTTTCAAATTTTAATTAACATTCAAAAGAACCATAGCTGTCTTACCGGCGACACGACCGACTAAAGTATTTAAATGGAAATCACCTGTGTCTATTTATAGATCTGTACATTTACCTTTTCGATTAAAGATCAAACTACATGTATGTTATCATTTGTAGACCAGTGTTATATTTTCAAAGTTGCAAGTTTGTTACATTACCCTCATTTTACTTCTTCAATTCTCTTATTCTAAACAAGATTTTTAGAACATTTAAAAAATAAAACAAGCTAGCAGCTATGACTTTGGGTGATTAGAATAGATTAATTAGGACTGGGTTTTTTTACCCGAGATTTTTTCAAGGTGTTATGTTGTATTATATATCTCTTACATTATTTATAGATGTATAATAAAATAATTAAAGAAATCATAGGAAAAATGCACCGAGAGAAAAAAAAGGCATTGATTAGAAACACGTACTGTGAGACTCGTACTCACGATCATTATGTCTACAATCCAGCAATCATACCACTACGCCACGAAGTCATTGTAATCGGATGGATAAATTTAAGACTGATTGTTGAATCTTGCAATAATTTTGAGAAGAAAAATTAAATACATATGTTCAACATTTTCAATATGAAGACCACCTTTAACAAAAATTATCTCAATGTAATGAAGTGCAGTCATATCCAAATAAAATTATTAAGACTTGTTTTTTGGTTATTGGTGGTCTTTTGCTACAGTTTGTCATTGTTTAGGGGGATACCTCAGTATTTACTATATTCTCCATATAAAATAAAGGATTTTTATATCTATCATACGAGGGAACCATTAATATCAAATATTATTTTTGTGTGATTTGCTTTAAGGCATGTATAAGCTAACAGTGTATGACAAAATTTTGGTTAAACAATGTATTTCAAAAATCACTACTAGAGCAAGCGAAAGTGACTATCAAATGCGCTATTGCCATTTTATTCAAGTATTGTTTATATACGTTCTTACTGAAAATGAAATAATAAATGATAAGAATGGATAATTTTACATGGAAAAGTGGTTTTGAATCGATTCCTGGGCATGTTTTCTGCTGATTTAGCTGTCTCGCAGGCAAATCTTTCTCCATAAGGAAGAGACTAAAATAGATAAAATACTGCTCAGTGATCAAAGGGTACTATGCAAAATGGTATTCATCAATATAATCGCTTTGAAATGAAAACGTTGTAAATCGGATACGTTAAAATGATAAAAAAGAACTGTATTTCTCATAGAAAATGCCCATTTTTTTTTTTGGATGAAGTACTCTTTATACATTCTAAGGTTGAAATGGAAGGAATGTAAAAAAAACGAAAGGCTTAAGGTTAATCAACGTGAAATTGTAAAATAAGAAAATGATAATAAGCAATTCAATAATAATATTTTCACTAAAAATGATTAAGTACTGACCTTAAATTCCTTATGAAATATTTCATTTTCCTTGGCTTCTCTCTCAGTGATTATCCTCAGTAGGTCAGACACAGCGATATCCTTAGCCACAGATAGATCATTATAATACACAGCCTCCTCAGGGTTCTCCATTTGTGGTTCTTCTTCTGGGTCCTCTATCGGTACCGAAACATTACCTATGTTTGTGTACAACTTGTTTTCTGTTGTCATGGTAAAAGATAATCAATTAAATTAAAAACTGAAAATCTTAAGAGACGTAAGCAAATTCATTTTGAAGAAAATGTAGAACCTTATAAACTTCTAATATTTACCAGAAGATGGGGCATGCTCTTTTTTATAGAAGACCATATCTGATTTGGAATTTTGACGCATTCGTCGTTTGTATCTTCAATAAAAATATTATAAAATTAAATTTTTCCAACAGAATCATACATTTAAACAAGAGTGTCATTTATTATCATTAGATTCACATATTGGTTTCCTTTGAAATAATTGAAGTATTAAATAATTAAATAATTGAAGTCAATAGATATTTCAAACATACCTGAGAAAAATGACTATGATGATTATTAAAACCAAAAGAAATAGTACAGCACCTAACCCAGCACCAATAGCTGTAGTCGGCAAAGAAGTCGGGTCACTTACAGCAAGTGCTGGAAAAGAAGTATTTAACATAACAAATGAAATTTTGGGTCGAATATTAAAATAAATAACAAAGCACAATGAACAAAATATGTTTTAAAATAAGCCTTAATCATAATAAAATAGTTCAAAATCTACTAAGGTAGAACAAAAGTTCTTTTGTATTATATGACCAAATACAATTTATTTTTGACATAATACACATATGCATTTTCCCTTCATTTCTAAAAGTCGCTCGAATGGCGCAGTGATTAGAGCGTCTGCTCTAGAGTCGCGAAGTAAAGAGTCAATCCTTACGTCGCGGGTTCGAATCCCACTGTGGGACGTGAAGACCGGTCCTTCGAATGAGACTATATAAACCGAGGTCCCGTGTCGCAGTAGAAGCTGGCACGAAAAAGATCCCTCCCTGCTCAATGGCCTTGAGTGCCGAGTATTGGACAATATTTGCAGCTCTCCACCGGCAAGTGGTGGCGTCTCCATATGAGTGAAAAATTCTCGAGAGGGACGTTAAGCAATATACAATCAGTCAATTATTTCTAAAACGTTTAAAAAGACATATCTTTTCAATTAAAGTTTTATTTGAGTTCATAAAATTATATATATTTCTAAAATGATATAATACTCTCTTATGAATTATTTTATCTTAAAAATAAACATTATCAAAAATAATTTTACGAATGCCAAATGTATCCTGGTCAACATACCTATGAAACATTTCTCATCCACAAAGTGTCCCTTACATCCTCCTATACAGGAACCATTGTTTGAGAGACAGGTTCTGTTCAAACAGTTTGAACTACACTGAGATTCACACTCATGACCATAATAATCCGGTTTACAAACTAAAAAAAATAAAATATTTATATGCAATTTGTAACTGGTATTTAAAATATCAAATTAAAATGATTGTAAGATAACCTCAATTTACAAACGCCAAACTTTTATACCCAAAAACAATATTTAGAAAATGTCAGGTTTTTGTCAAAAAAGTGTTTTCTAAATTAATACCGTCACAGTATCGTCCCTGCCATCCTGTCTTACAAGCACAACTCCCATCGGACTGATGACATCCGGAATCACACCCACCACCACAGGCCTTGAGACAGTCTGGTCCAAATTTACCGTCAATACAACCAGAATCACACAAACCACTGCTTTTACTGCATACCTTTTTACAGTTTTGATTACAGGTCCTATCACATTGATCTCCATATTTACCAGCTGGACATGCTCCCTCACAACTCCCCGAGTCTCTGTTGCAACTAGATGGACATGAAGCACTACATCTCTGTTCACATTTCTGTGAATAAAATCCTCTCTCACACCCAATAGTGCAAACACCAGTAACATTGTTGCATGCCTGGCTGATACAATTTACACTGCACATGTTTGAGCAATCATCTCCATAATGAGTCGCATCACATTCTATAAGTAGTAAAAATCAAATTGATGTTTTTGATATTGATCTAAAGCTTGAAAATAATTTGTATACAAAATCCGACATGATCTAACATTTTGCTAATGTCAGAAACTGCTTATGTTATGAAATCATAAAGAAAAATATTACATGTACATTATGGCATCATCAACAATGACGTTCACCAACAATTGAGGAAAACTTTAAAATCAAAAATCTTACTGTTGCAAATTCCTCCAGTCCAATTCGGTTTACATCCATTAATGCAAATTCCATATCTGTTGCAGTTGGTTTGTTTGCAGTTTTCACTACATTCATTTTCACAATAAACCCCATAGAAACCGTATTTGCAACCACGACTGCAATAGCCATTTTCTTTATTACATTCCAAATCGAGGCAAGTGTCACTACACTGTCTATCACACTTCTCTTCATAATAACCTAATTTACAGGTGTCACAATGTCCGGTATATCTAGAACAATTTCCAGTACTGCAGTTACCACAAGTAATATTACAAAAATCACCATAATAACCAGATACACATCCAGTTGTACAAATTCCCGTGTATTTGTTACATTTTCGTCCCGAACACTTTGCATAACAATCCTTCTGACATATATCTCCAAAGTATCCATCGCTGCAGGAATAGCAAAATCCATTTGTGTTGATGCAATATCTCGATTTGCACGAAGTTGGACAAATTTTCTGGCAATTATCTCCCCAACGTCCCTGATAACATTGGATGCAGTTGCCAAATTCATTGCATTGCTGGTCTACACAATTACTGCTACAGGCTAAGAGTAACGATTAACATAACGTTTATTATTATAAATAAATACAATTGTATTTGTCAAAACAAGAAATCTAGCAAAGAATATGAAACTTATAATAACTGAAGGGTTCGGTATGATAAAAAAAGAAATCCAAAATATAAAGGTTAAATGAGGATTCAAACTTTAACATGCATTTTCAATAAGTAGTATTTTTAATATGAATACTTACGACAGCCGGTTGCAATGTCACAGTTATAACAACCTTCACAAGATGAACAGTTTGGGCCATAATAACCAACTTCACAACCTGATTAAAAAAAGATTTAATCAAGGAATGAATTTAGCTTTTTGAATAAAAAAAGTATAATGTAACAGTTAAGGTGATTCGAACCTGTCACCAAAGTAATTCGATTTTTTAAAAAATGATAAGAATGATACTAGAGGATTTCCTGTCTTGAATAATGACAGTTTTGATATGGGTCAATGCGCTAGTTTCCATGGCAACGGCCTCTGAACATGAGAGTGTTGAAATTGTCTGCTGTGCAAAAATAAACAAGTAATAGACATAATCAAAATTAAAAAATAAAAAGATTTTATTTTCAATCGTATTTTTACATCATGGAAATGAAAGATAATAACATTGTCTTCCTACAGAATAAATAAAAGTATGGATATAGTAAATGATGTTTAAGAAATTTAATCCGAATTTCCTCAGACTGCTCTTAAAAATGCCATTTTCAGCATGACTTCCAATTGATAAAATGGCAAAAAATCAATTTACCAAGAGTAAATGGAATTTTCTCTTTTAACTTTCTTTGAATAGCAGTGAAACAAAGCTTTAAACCTTGGAAAAAAAATTGATAGGTTCATGAGTCCGGTTTTAAGAAAGATATAATAATCTGACTTTCATTGGGTCTTGCTCAATTTTTAGCCTTTTCCAAAAAACAACATTTATATATGAAAAGATAAACACAAAACATCTTAAAAGTTTGCATAAAATAATCAAAAACATTTTTTTTTTTTTTTTTTTTTTTTTTTTGTTTGTTTGTTTTTTTGTTTTTTTTTGGTTTTGGGGGGGGGGGGGGGGGGGGGGTTGTATATCAGATTTTGAATTTCAGTAAAATTGTAGATTCTGAAAATTCTCTTTTCCTACAGGGATAATACATTATAGACATATTTAAAATACTAAAACAACCTTTGCATACATATGAGAATTAATTTTAATACAACTCATCAATGTACTTAATCAAAAGAATTGCTTTCCATTATACATGTACATTATATGTTTATTCTAGTGTCTTAATTATCTGTAATTTACATGATTTTTTTTTCATGGGCCATGAATTAGTAATAAATCGTTCTCTAATTCTATAATAAAATCATTAATAGTTTATTTATTTTCATATCCAAAAAATTAAAATGCTTCATGTCCATGCTTCATTGATGACTTTTCCTTCATATTTCAATTGAAAACCGTATATGAAGCCCCGATTTGAGAATCTGACGAGGAGTAACTTCCCTTTTATTTTAAAATATAAACCAAATTGTATTTTCACTAAAAAAATCATAATTTTTTTCACTCTATAATAGTTATAGCTTAATTTTATGTCTTCAAATATGTCCTTAGTAAGAGCATAGTAATTGAAAATATGAAAAAATAATAATTGTTTCACTTACATTAGTAATATCAAAAACAAAAAAAAGTTTTCATTTTTCTAACGACATCTCTTACAAAGCCAACGTGCTAAGTCAAAAAACTTATCAAAATATAATTATGTGTATATTTGATTTTTTTGTTCATTTTCATTTTACGTTTAATGTCTGGTGGGGCAATTGAGTGCCTTGTTTTACATTTATGTATGATTTTAATGTTCCAAGTACATAGATCTACATGTAAACGGTAGAGCGTAGTCTGCATACATGTCATTGTTCATGTTTCAACGTTATCACATGTGCGTAGGGCCTATTTGTAATGTGTACTTATGACTGAAATAATTGTGGTCAGGTTGTTCAGACATCTTAGTCCATCTTGCAGAGTGAATACTGGACACCTCCTGGTAATACACAGGCATCTCAATTTTTGTCAATGAGTCGCTAAATAAGCCAAATATTGAAAAATTCTACCCTCTCTAGGGCCTATATATAAATACACAAGATGCATGTGCAACTCCAATTTGACCCCCTCTCGGTTCAGGCTTGATTTTAACATATAAATCGGACATGCCTATCGGTTTGCGTGTAGCATAAGGTTCAAATATGATATTTCTCGCTATACATTTCTTCTTTAAGTTTAAATCCAACGCGTTGATAATGCAAACAACTAAAATTCATGCAAACTTCGAATTTTGTTCCAAGGCCCGATTGCCATCAGCTGACGTCACGGAAATGTAATCTCTACACCAAATGCTCTAATACATAAATTAATCAAACATTTGTTAAATAAAACCAAGGATAACAAACAATATGATTTTATTTATTTTTTTTTTTGTTTATTAATGAAATAAATCTATAATTGTGGTATTAAAAAGTTTATGTAATAGAACATTTGGTGTTGAGATTAAATTTTCGTGACGTTTTGCGTTGCGCAGTTGACGTATCTTCGTCACGTTCGAATCACCTTAAGTATAACATGTATAAGGCTTTGCTTTGACTAGACTTATAACTTAATACACAAGGGATATATAGGTGCCAGTTGTATTTTATTTTAATAACATTTGTTAGACACATAAAGTAGTTAGAACGATTGATTGAATCTTTTACCTGTATCTTTTTGGTCTGGTTGTTTTAAAAGAACCAGTATTTGTACAATCTTGAAAATAAGTTGAATATTTTTTTTATCTCGGTTGCATCGATATAATTTTAAGGGAAAAATTTTGACAAAAAATTGGCTTAGCTTTTTTTTTTTACCAGAAGTCATCGGTTATAATTGTACTCAGTTCAAGAAATTTGAATTATCTTTAAAAAAAAAAAACAGGTTCATGTTTTTTTTTATACTTTATTTCCTCATACCCATGTCTCATGATTTGATTTTTTGTAAAACAAAGTCATTTTCTTTTATGAGGTCAATGCTTTTTTTTCTTTACAAATACTTATGGAGTTTTGTGACAAGAAAAAAACGCCGTTAATTGAATTTTTATGAATTATTAATTTCTTTCCATTATATAAGTCCCCGATATCTCAAATGATTATTTCTGGTACATATATTAATTTAAAACGTTCTTCTTAATTGAAAACGAATTCAATATTGAAGGCCAGCTGAGGATTTCTTGAATACCGATAAACAATCGGGACACGCTTTTCCATTATCTGAATACATAGTCGGCGACATATTTGTTTGCTTTTCTTATGAAAACTCTAGTTGTATATCGAACAAAGTAATGTTATAAATCAAAGGAGAGGAGCCGATAAACCAATGTACGGGATAACACCCCCCCCCCCTTCCGCCCAAGAAATGTCCAGAACAGACTTCTTCTTTAACTTCTTATGCCTGCGTTAACCTTGATTTGACTTACATTGACCTGTTAAATAATACAATTCAGAAAATGTGATGTTCACCTGCAAATGTACACGAGGAAAAAAATACATTGTATTCTTCAACTAGATCACCATTTGAATCATGTTTCTGGGAGTGTTTGCTTTAGATTTCAGAAAATTATTTTTTTTGTAAATTCGCTTGTCCTCACATTTCTTGAAACATCTTATTGACATCGGTTTAAAAAAACCGTATACGTATTCAAATTTCTAGAGAGATGTCGACACTGCCATTTGCAGGTGGGCATCACGTTAACATCAAGATAAAATCTCTCAAATTCGTTTTACCATAAACTTCTATTTCACAAATTTCTAGGATTGGACCTTTATCAGTTGGATATTTGTACTCTGTTTCCACAATTATGTATCTTGCCGTCTGTTTACATGGAATCTCAATTATATTTGGAGGTACAGCAGGAGCTGTACTGTTGTCAGTGTAACATCTGGTTCGCTGACTGGTTGTAGTCGAAATAACTGGATAGTCCGAGACGTCCAGGTAAAACTGTCTAAATCTGTATTGCTGCCATTGGGGACCTGTAATGTAAAATATTTTGTTATGAGATAAGCATAATGTTACCCCAACCTACCCCTAACAATCATAAATTAGTCTAAACAACCTGAGTGTGTTTTAAATAAAAATGGCTTATCATGAGTTGTACATTGTTTTTCTAAATTTTGACCGCCCATTGTGGCCTCATTTTAGGCCTGGGTTCATGATTTAATAATGTTGAATCCAAAAAGGGTGTGGATGCTACCATATAAATCTGAATAATTAGGACTTTACTGTTTTACTACACAAATTTTCATTTCTATTTTCTTATAAATACTGAAAGGAAAAAGAAAACGCAGGGTAGCTTATTATTTGATTTTTTTTATCGCATGACCGAAAGTTACGCACACTGGTCAGATGAAATGTTAGTTACTATGCACCAAAATCAGTGTTCAGAATTACTCAACCGTTAAATGTTTGACTCGACGTCATATTGGAAAATGCTTAAAAGACCAATCACGTACAAATGAAGAGTTTTTCAATAAATCTTGCTGTTCTGTTTGATTCAATTGAAGATATACACATTGTTTGTCCTTGAAAATTTACAGATGATACAAATTTCTTGCAATCTTAGTACAGTTGACGGAAGTTCCATAGGGTGAGATTTTCAAATTACAGTTGTAAGGACAAAGACAAAGTGGATTTCTAAACAGTTTCTTGTAAATTTCCCCCCCCATAGAACGTGTAATTCGTTGACAGAGATGTTCTGGAATGGTTTCCAACCAATCGTGTCGATGATGTTAACGCCAAACAGTCGAGTTGTTTTCCTGTCCCTTAAGCTTGTTTTATCGCCACCTAATACCACAAAACTGCTGTTAATACAGTAGACTATCATAATCATTACATTCACCCCAAACGGAAAGAAACTAATTACACAAATTGGGGTTTTTAGCTGATAAAATTAATGGTTGTGTTTCTCTCACTGGCGCATGCGCCTTTCGTTTGACTTATTTTCGACGTTGTTGCTCATGCCCAATATACACGTAGCAAGGGGTTAGATTGATTGTATATAGTTTTACGTCCCTCTCGAGAATTTTTCACTCATATTGAGGCGTCATCGTATGCCGGTGAAGGACTTACAATTTTTACCTTTACTCGGCACTCAGGGACATTGAGCAGTGAGGTATCTTTAACGTGCAAACGCTTGCCGCTGACACGGGGCCTCGGTTTTTAAGGTCTCATCCGAATAGGAACCGCAACTTTCACTTAAAAGTGCTGATCGCATGGCGAACAGTTGCTACCAATTTTATCGACTAGGTCAGTCGCGGCCTAAACCAGTGTTAGAAAAATAAACACTCTGATGAATTTTGATGCAAAGGAGAAACTAGACTGTGACAGATACATTGTACGCGGGGAGACATTGAAGATATTGGCTTTCGATTTTCTCTTGTGTGGTATCGATTGTCATATGAGTTCCAATAACTCATGATTTATAAGACAAAAACAAAAGAAAAAATTGGTTGTATTTTCTTAAAAGATAATTTTAAAAATAAGATAGGAATACTGAAAATGATAAAAAGAAAAATGAATTTAATTCCTCAAAAGTTCACCGTACATTTCTGTTTCCTTTCAGTATAATGCCTAAAGTGGGCCTCACCCTAGCCAAGTGGATTATAGTATAATCAATCTTAAATCTACCTGAACATGTATTCTCATTAATATGAAGAATCGCAACTTTAAATTGCTGTTTTAGCAGATTTGTCTTCTTTATTCCTAAGTAAAGTTATGATTCATTGTGGCCCGACCCTAGCAACAGGTATCATAATCATATATAATCTGTTCAAATGTTAACGAATAGTGTCTGAAGATGAGTCTATATACAAGTAAATATAATTACTGATTTTAAACAATTTTTTTAAATGTATTTCTATATATATATATATATATATATTTTTGTAACTGTGACCCAGCGCCTTAAGGGTCATGCATTGCTGCTACCCATAGTGGCTATGAATTGAACAACTTGAAACTTAAAAACAAACTTTTGGAGAATGTTTTTTTTTTTCATAAATATGACAAATCATGGCTATCACATGAGTTATCTTTTTTGCCAAGCACATGTTAGAGAGAACTTTTTGAAAGGATGTCATTTCCACTCAATCTTAATTACAAGTATATCTACTTGAAAGTTTTAAACATATTTCTGCTTCAGACTCTCGTGTTTCATTAATTGTATTTGGTTCACTTTTATACCTTTTAATATCAATTCAGAGAATTATTATTTTATATTACTTTTATCTGAATATGTCTTAAGGCTAGGCAGTTTTAGGCATAAATGATCTTTGTTTTTTAATATCGTGTCGCTAGAGTCTGATGCATCTGTGTTTTTTTCTGAATTGAAAGGTTCTGTCTGTCTAGCTCTCCGTTTGTCTGCGTTCTCTGCAATTTTTTTTCCTTGTTTCTCTGGCAGTTTTATTTTTAACTTGATTGAGCGTATAAGGGGTAAATTTTTAATAGTTAATAAAATCCATTTTGAAATTTAAAAGCAAAAGCAATTTATTTCTCTTGCATCATAGCGGGGAGATCCTATGGATTGTTCATGTACATGAAGCTCTCTCTTGACAACATAAGACAAAAATCAGAGAGGGCTACATTATTTTCGATTACTGAAACCTGTATGAACAGTTTTGTAGAAAATGACTATTATGCTTCGATCAAAATCAAGTCCAAGACTCAGTATTTTTCACACGCTTTACATTCACCTCACTTTTCAAGCACTTATCTTCTTTAAATCACAATACATGTACATGTCCATTGTTGTGCTTTCATTTGAGCCACGGTAGATTTTGTTTCCTTTTCAAGGCAAGAAGCAGATAATTGCATGTTCTCTGTATTAGTTTTTATTATATATATAAATGTGCAAGTCTTGAAACCAAGTACACTGAAATGTGTTTTTATATAAAATGTTCAATCAAAATACGTGTAGTAGATATTTTATGTTCATTTGAGACATATAATCAGACCATTTTCTATGTTACAATCACCATATCAAATTAACAGAGAAGTACTTAAAAGTATCATTAAATTCACAAAAGATAATTGGATTCTGTTTCAACATATAATTCATATTTATAGAACATTACAATGAAAGATATTTAAATTCTTCATTTTCTCTTGAAGTAAATATTATGCAAGTATACCTTCTCTTCTGTAATAAATTTACACTTTTTTTGCTGTATGGTTTTCCAAATCTACTTGAAACCAAGCCCTGTTTGTGTATATAGGAGCAGTATGAGCACAATATTTTTCTGTGATATTTCTATCACCATCATTTGCCCGTGATGCATCGTGGTATGTAGAACTTTGGAGAGTGTTGTTGTGGATCTTCTGCTCAGGTTTTCTGTAAAAAATATGAAACAAGTAGAGGAAAGGGATGGTTTGCACATAATTCTACTACGTACACGATTATTGCGGAGATCATAGAAATGCTGCGAACATTATTCTCCAATAAATCACGAAAGTCATCAAAAGATTATCAGATCAGAAACATGTTTCAAACCTGTGCAGTTAAAATGTACTTAAAAATGAAATATTATTTAAACCACATTCACTCTAAAAAAAGTTTTACTAGTTTTTTTTAAAATAAGGTATTAATTAAAAAAACTAGTAATTTTAGTAATCCATTTAGTCAGAATAGCAAGTAAATGACTATCAAGGTTAGTAATTGTAAACATAATTAGTAAAAAGGATGAATTCATTTACTTATAAAGTGATTTACTAAGTATCAATAGAATAACTTAAACTATAGGAATTATATTATTTTAAGTTAGTAAATGAACTCATTTTTGGTAAATTATTATTACTTAATTTAAGATAATGCTTTAGAGATTGCTTTCTATTTACTAGATTTTATGAATTATTACTAAGTAAATGCAATTCTGAAATTAATTAAAATGTAGAATATTATTACTCAAAAGAATACTATTTTGTAAAATTTTATCATATTTACTAAAATCGACATTATTTATAGAAACACTGCAAGGTACCGACCCTCTGACATTTGAGTGCTACTAAAATTTCAAAATCAGAGACCCCTAACTGGGCCCTCTGAATAGTTTAATAGAAGAAATCTACTTAAGATGGAAACAATTATACTTTCAATTTCTTTGCCAATTTCTTTGTAATTGTTTTATTATATATAACAATAAAACATTTGATTCAAACTTCGAAAGCCTTAAAAATTGAATAAGTTGTATGTTTTTAAGGACCATTTTAAAAAGGGTTTAAACATTTCAAGTATTAAATATGCATTTTTATTAGTGTTACTTTTTTTCACATGAAGGAATATTCAGAAAAAAGATAACTCCTCCTCACAGACAATTAATATGGAAGCCAAAATTCTATTTTACATTTTAAAATTAATCCCGACAGTGATTAGACTACTATATTTAAGTAATTACTGCTCTGAATTCTTTTGATTTAGTAAATAAAATTTTGCTCAAAGTAAATCAATTCAATACAATTTAAACAAAATGTTTTTTGTGAAACCCCTATGCCCCCGTATGGCAACATAGCAAAGGTTAAAATTTTCTTATATGCAAATTTAAATTATTGGTATTTCTTGATATCTCCAAGGTCAAAAGGTCAAGGTTATTGGTATCTAATGAAGGTCCTGCCAAAAAAAATACATATGTGAAATATGGAAACCCTTTCCTCAACCCTTCAGAAGTTATGGTCAAGGTTATCAATTTTGAAATTAGGTCAAACTCCAAGGTCAAGGACAAAGGGCAGATTTGGGGGTAAAAATAGATCTTGTCAATGGATGAATGCACTAACCCTAATCCTTCTAAAGTTACATTCAAGATTTGCTTTTTAAAAGTGGTTCAACTCCAAGGTCAAAAGTAAAAGTTCTTGGTACCCTATAATGGTCTTTTTCAAAATGATTACATATGTGTAAGTATGAAAGCACTTTTCCTTCCCGTTCAAAAGTTATGGCCAAGGTTAAAGTTTTTTTTACAAGGATGGAAATTCCAAAGGCAAAAAAGGTTTATAGTTGTTGGTATTCAATGAAAGTTCTTACAACAAAAAAATATATATGTGAAGATAAATGTCCTGGTATTACTATTCAAAAAAAATTTGGAAAAAAAATAAGTTTGGGTTTTTTGTGTATAAGTCAGTCAAACTTCGAGGTGAAGGTCAAATTTGGTGAACCAAAGAAAAGGGCTTTTCACAAGGAATACACGTGTGAAATATGAAAGTCAAAGATCCGCTAATTCAAAAGTTATAGGCAAGGTTAAAGTTTCTCGGGTAAACAGACAAACAGAAAGACAGCTAGACAACAGACGGACACGACAAAAACAAACCCCCAAACTTCGTTTACGGGGGCATTGAAATATTAATAATATAGCAAATAGTGGTAAAATGTAAGTAAAGACCAAGTAATGTTATTACTTATATACACAAATTTAAGTAAATATAAATTACTAAGTAAAACTTTTTAGTGTGTAAGTAAAACAATTCTTTAAAATACAACCAAAGCTCTGTCGAGTGTAGCTCTATGGTTTTACTTTTAAAAAACCATTGCACTGTTTTATGTATCTTTGTGTAGTCTACTTGTGTGCCAACTTATTTTGAAATAAAATAAAAATTGGGGGTGTTTTAAAGGAATTTCACAGAAAATTTTTTTCATTAACCATGGTAAACCAAACATCAAATAAAAACCGATGCCCTTTTTGATCTTCGTGTAGTCTACTTGTGTGCCAAGTTATATTGAAATCAGACCAAAACTGTAGAAGGAGTAGCGTTTTAAAGAATTTCACACAAAATTTATTTTTATTTAAACCCTGGAACACCATCACCGAAAACAAAAACCGATGATATTCTATGTATCCTAGT